AACCAAAGGCAAACTGAACTACTGTCACTATACCAAAATAAAAGGCTCTGCGCAGAGAAACAACCCAGTAACAAAGCAAAAAAGACAGCCTACTGAATGGGAGAAGACATTTGCACATAACATATCCAATAAAAGCTTAATATCCAAAACATATAAAGAACTTCAACAACTCAACCCCAAGAAATTTCAAGTAAAACAATTAAAAATGGGCAGAGGACCTGCAGACATTTTTCCACAGACCCACGCAGACGGGCAACAGACGCATGAAAAGAGGCTCAACATCACTCATCATCAGGGAAAGTCCAATGCAAACCACAGGGAGAACCACGTTATACCTGTCAGAATGGCTTAAGTCAGCAACACAAGAAATAACAGGTGTGGACAAAGATGTGGAGAAAGGGAACCTTCATGCAGTGTTGGTGGGAATGCAAACTGGAGTAGCCACTGTGGCAAACACTATAGATGTTCCTCAAAAAATAAAACATAGAATTACCAAATGATCCAATAATTCTACTGCCGGGTAGTTACCTCTCCCCTACCAAACCCTAATTCAAAAAGATATTTACACCCTTATGTTTATTGAACATTTTTTATAATAGCCAGATATGGAAGCAGCCCGAGTGTTCATCTATAGATGAATGGTTAAAAAAAAAAAAAGGTATAAAACTTCTGGTTTTTCCATTGATATTTCTTTCAGAGCATGCAACATTGCCACAGTCACATTATACCAAAAGGGGCAATGGAGATCTTGAGGGCTACTCATTTGATCTTGAACAGTAACTGCAAGCATTCTTGACATAAATTTATTAAAACAGGTACCAGCACGTCCTTTGCTAGTTACAATCACTGCTTGTTATTACCATATAAACACAAGAGTAATGGAATAGTTTTAAAATTTGGTACTCATATTTCTCAAACCCCATACCTTTGTTTTTTAAGTCATCAGCCCCAATATATGTGCACTCTGACTGAATAAAGTCTGAGTTCTTATTCTGATGCCCTGTATGTCTGCTCCAATTCATAGAGCTTACTACAGGTCTAGTCTTTGGAGGAGACAAAATTTGAGCTGGCCCGTGAGGGGCAGGTCAGACCTGAATAGTGAGAATAGTGGGGGCTTGGGAAGAAATGGCCATTATTTACTGATTGTATTTGGTACATATTGTGTGATACTTGAAGAGAGAAAAGGGACTTACCAGCCCTTAATTGAAATCTAAGCTTTTTATCGCTTATTTTCTCCTTGCCCTATCTCCTCTCTTCTACCATTTTCCTTGCATTGTGATGATCTAGCGGGCACTTCTGTCAACAGGACAAATGCCTCCTCTGACTATAACCTCTTAATAGTTGTGTATAATGAAAACTGTAAACTTTTTTAAATAAAATGTGTATATACCTTGGCAAAAAAAAAAAAAAAAACACCCAAAAAAGTCATACTATTTTTTTGTTTATTATTTACTAAGATTGAGGAATGAAGAGTGGAAATAGATATATTACATGTTTTAGGGAGGATTTTCTGAGATAGTTCAGCCCGTGCCGCCTCAGCTCGTGACATCAAGCACTCTGGAGCCCTCCTTTGTGTTGACTGTTGTACTCACAGGGACGAGATTGTTAAGGTCAGGAGAAAGGATCTGGAGGTAATGATGATTTGTGAACACAAATATACCTGACAGACAAGGTAGAGAAGCATTCCAAGTAAAGGAGAGCAGAAATGCCAAGGAAAAGCTCTGAGGTATGAACAATTAAGTTGGGAATGCAACCATGGAGGGTAGCCTGTAGGCGATTAGATGATTCCCCAAAAGGTAGTCAGGAGACAGATGTAGGGGGCCTTATGCACCATGCTGGTGATAGGATGTCATCATTTAGAGTGGTGATTCCTAAAGAAGTTCTGTAAGGAGTCGGGAAAATCAGTGGGTTAAATTCTGATCCTACACTCAGTAATGGAGTTTGAGGGATTCAGGTTGGTCGAGTGAACTCCACCCCCCCTTCCGTGGTGTCTCACCCCCCCTTCTGTGGTGTCTCCTCAATCCTGACTATTCTCTGGGTTCCGGATTCCCACCTCCCCTCCCAGCTGGATATTCCCATTTGAATATTGGCCACCGCTTCCACTTCAGCACTTTGAGAGTCTAAAGGGCTGTAACCCACCAACAGGTACTTGGTAATGAGAGGATCAGGAGGGGCATGAGACTGGCCGGGACTCTGGTGTTCCACTCCTGGCTGTCACTCCCTGTCCTATGACTGACCACATCCTCCGGCCTCTCTTAGCTTCAGGTTTCCTATCTGTGCAGTGGAAATGTTGCTGGTTTCATGAGGTGATTTGAAGACTAAATGAATTACTACACGTAAAGCACTTAGACAAGGGCTGGGCACATAGTAAGCGCCATTACCATTACTACTATGATGCTATTATTCATCCAGGCTGAAAACTGCTACAGATTGGGAGGATACGGAAGCAGAGCAAGGGAATAAAAGCCACTAACGTCTTTAAAATTGACCTTCAGATTCTTTAAAATTGACTTTTGGAATACTTAGTTTCTGTTTAACAGTGACTGTCCTAATCCAGGTCTCTCTTGCCTTTGCCCCTGAGTACAGTAGCAGGGCGCTGGGACTTCTCTCCTGCACTTCTGCCCTGTGCCAGCAGATCTCTCTCTTCAAACCTGAGTCTGTAGACTGTTCTCGTACTCCACAACTGTCAGGGTCTAATGTTATATGTGTGTAATTTTGTCAAAACCAGATGCTTCCTGAATTTTCTCATTGTGAAATAGCCTAGTTTTGCTGGAGAAAAATTAAAAATGATAAAAAAAAAGGTCAAATAAGTCTTTCATAACTATCATATTTATGAATTCATTTTCACAGCCATCAGAATGGCTAGAATGAAAAAGATAAAGAAGAGTTGGAAAAGATGTGGAGATAGAGAACCCTCGTGGTCTGTTGATTGGGAATGTCAGTTGGTGCAGAATATGGAAAACAGTATGGAGGTTCCTCAAAAAATTAAGAGAGAAATGCCAGACGATCCAGAAATTTGACTGTTAGGTAGTTCCTCAATGAAAATAAAGTGGTAATTTAAAAACATACGTACCCTGTGTTTACTGCATCATTTACGATAGCCAAGATAGGAAAGCAACTTAAGTGTCTACCGATAGTTGGAGGAATAAAGAACATGTGTAGTATGCGCTCATACACAGTGGATTGTTGGTCATAATGAAATCTTGCCCTTTGCAATAAATAGATGGACCTGGAGGATATTAGGTTCTGTTAAGGACAAATACCAAATGATTTCACTTATAAATGGGGAACAGAGGGACATCTGGGTGGCTCAGTGCTTGTCCGTCCGTCTTTGGCTCAGGTTGTGATCCCAGGGTCCTAGGATCGAGCATTGGGCTCCCTGCAGAAAGCCTGCTTCTCTCTTTGCCTGTACTTTGCCCCTCTCTCTCTGTCTCTCTCATGAATAAGTAAAATCTTAAAAAAAAAAAAAAAAAAAAAGGAACATAAATGACCAAGCAAACAAGCAAAAAAGACAAAAGAGAGTCATAGATACAGAGAACAAACTGATAATTGTCATCTGGAAAGGGAGGGGGGAGATAGGCAAAGTAGGGAAGTGGTTTAAAACATACAAACTTCCAGTTATAAGTACACAACAGGTATTAAAAATACAACATAAGGAATATAGTCAATAGTCCTGTAGTAAGGCTGCATAGTGACAGATGCACCCTTTTATCACTTATCCTGGTGTGAACTATGTAATATATATATATGTGATTGTTGAATTATCATAATGTATGCTTGAAACTATTCACACTCTCAACTATTCTTCAGTAACATAGGTAGTATTTCCTTGACAAAGGCTATAGAAACAGTTTTCTAGATATTCTGCTCACCAATGGAAAGAAAAGCAAAATTAAACTATTAGGACTACACCAAAATAAAACATTTTTGCACAGTGAAGGGAACAATTACAAAAACAAAAAAAGGGCAACCTACTAAATGGAAAAAGATATTTTCGAATGATGTATCTGATACATCATTTATAGTTGTAAATATTAATATCCAAAGTATATAAATAACACGGAACCAAACCAACCAAAAAAACCCTATTAAAAACAGATGGAAAGGGACACCTGGGTGCCTCAATGGTTGAGCGTCTGCCTTCAGCCCAGGGCCTGATCCTGGAGTCCTGGGATAGAGTCCCGCATTGGGCTCCCTGCATGGAGCCTGCTTCTCCCTCCTCCTGTGTCTCTGCCTCTCTCTTTCGCTCATGAATAAATAAAATCTTTTTAAAAAATTAAAAAAAATATTAAAAATGGATGGAGAGCTTAAAGAGACTTATTTCTAAGGAAAATATATAGTTGGTACACACATGAAACAATGCTCAATATCACTAATCATCAGGGAAAAGAAATTAAAAAACCACAACGAGAGATCACCTTAGAACTGTTGGAATAGCTAGAACAAATATAAGAAATACAAGTGTTGGCAAGAATGTGGAGAAAACGATTCTCTCCTGCACTGTTTGAAATGCAAACTGCTGCAGACACTTTGCACAACGGTATGGAGATTTCTTAGAAAATTAAAAACAAAGTTATCAAATGATTCAATAATTGAATACTGGATATTTACCCAAAGAAAAAGGAAAACACGCAACAAAAGATATATACACCCTTATATTTAACAAAGCATTATTTATAATAGCCAAGATATGGAAGTAATCCAAATATTCATACAGAAATGAAGGGATAAAGATTTGGTATATGTACACAATGGGATATTACTCAACCATAAAAAAATAATGGAATCTTGCCATTTGTAGCAACATGGATGGATGCAGAGGATATAAAAGTGACAGAAGTCAGAGAAAGACAAATATCAAATGACTACACTCATATAGAATTTAAGGAAAAAAAAAAGGGACAAAAACAGTCTTTACTAGAGAATAAACTGGTGGTTGCCAAAAGGGAGATGGGTGTTTTGCAACAAATGTTAAGTAAATTACAGTAACTTTTACTTACATATATCTGGCGGTGCAGTGGCCACATGAGACTCATCAGAACCTGAAGATCCTGCAGTTGAAAAGGCTTTGGGACTGACAACCCTTTTAACTAAAGAGCAAAATCCTGGGAGATAGGAAACCAGTCTGGCTCTATTACAGAGCACCTAAAAATAAGACAAAAATTAAAATTATTTGTTCTGCATATACGTTATTTTTAACATAGACAATCTCTGGCAAACCCTCACACTGCAACGTATCTTTTAAAACCAAGTTTTATCCTATTATGGGGCAACTACTATATGACAAGGATTATATATATATAATTTTAAAAACATATCTATTAAACAAACAATAAATTACTTTTGGAAAAGTGTATGGCCTTTCTGATAAAGGCTAGAATCGAGAGTGCCACACTAGAGAGAATAGGAACCTCTAAAAGTTGCCCTATTCAGGAACAACACTAAAAAGGTAGTACAAGTAAGACTTTTTTATTGTTAAGGAATCTTCAACACTTTTAGTACATAGATTTGTGGTAAATATTTTGCTATGTTCACTTCTGGACTCTGAGGTCACTGACTATAGATGAATGTGTAAACATCTTTCATGAACAAATTTCTAGCAAAATACTTGCGTCAAAATAATTTTTTTATTATATTTTATACCGATTTATCCATTTGAGAGAAAAATCTCCAGCAGACGCGCCCCGCTGAGCGCACAGCTGGGCTCAATCTCAAGACCCTGAGATCATGACCTGAAGAAAATCAAGAGTCTAAAGCTTAGCTGAGGCACTCAGGTGCCCTATGTCAGTGTAATAATTTAATACAGGGGTTGGCAAACTATAGCTGAATACATCCTATTTTGGTAAGTAAAGTTTTGGTCTAATATTGTCACACGTACTTATGTACTGTTTGTGGCTGCTCTCATGCCATAATGCCAGAATTAAGTAGTTGAATAGAGACTATATGGCACAGAAAGCCTAAAATATTTACTTATCCGACCCTTTACATTAAAAAACAAAAATGCCAACTGAGTGTAGTAGAAAATATGTAAGAATACCATATTATCTGTGAAATACTATTAAAAGATTTGAACAATTAAGAGCTCCTTGAGAGAATAGGAAAAGAAGTTTCATAGAGAACACAAGGTTTTGAAGAAATAGAAATTTGTGGAGGAAAAGGGCATTTCAATGAGGAACTTTCAGAAACAGATGTATAGTCATAAAAGGTATATTCAAAAGAGAGAAATTTAGTAAGGTTAGATATTTAAGGGATTGCGGTAAAAAACAGACTTGGAAGTTAAGTTGTGGGTAATCATAAAAGGCTTTATATTTGACACAGTAAAGGGTTTGTTAACAGCAATTCAATAAATCAGAATCCTGATCTGGAGGCAGGGAATAGAATAAACTGACAAAAATAAGGAATGTTTTTAGGAATGTATCACTTAGTGCAGGATGGACTGGAATAGGATTTAAGAATAGATTGGAGTGGTACGAAAATTAGTTACCAGGGTGTGGAAAGACTCTAGCCATTTGAAACTTCAGAATCAGTCTTTTCCCCTTTCAGAGTACTCTGAATTCCAACCCAGGTGTTCTTTTTTTTTCATCCTAAGTATAAGATAACATCCTAACTTGTTTTACCTCTCTCGCATAATTTATTAACTTTACCTTCCTTTCTTTTTCAATTCTTTAGTCTCACATAAAAAAACCCCACAACACTTCTATTTCTCTGCCTTCTTTTATACTGCCTTATGACTTCTTCTGCTAGAATGCCCCTTTCCCTCTCCTTCTAGGTCTAGCAAATTTCAACTCTGTCTTCAATAACTGGATAAACAGAACTTCCTTAATGTATCTCCAAAGAAGGCGGGTCTCCTGACCATTCTGGCCATCTGAAAATTTCAGCATCCTTCCTTGAGTCAGGACCCAACCTCCTCAGAGAGATAAATATAATAATTATTAGATTTTAACTTACTAGACAAACTCAGACTTTGGGTGTTTCTACAATTTAAATTTACCTCTACAAAGAAGACATTTACATTTAAGAGAATAATGGCTCAGGATCTTAAAGGCAATATAAAATTTTAAACTCTGAAAATATTTTGGGCAAAGCCTTAAAAATAACCCTCAATAAGACATTTTCTGAAGGGGGCAATAGTAAATAGTAAATAATCAATAGATGTTAATTACTATGGGATAGATGCTATGCTAAGTGCTTTACATGCACTCTTTTACTTATTCCCACACTTCCATATACTATTAACATTAAAGTACGATTATCAAGCTATTATTTGTGATTAACTGCTTCATAAGCAAAAAAGGAAAAGAAAGATAATCCAAATTATTTTAGCAACTGCCTAATATTATTAAGGATTATGATTATTTTAGCCTGGGAGTGCCAAGGCCACTAACTCCTACTTTGGAATTTTTCCTTGATGGTAAAGCATTTAACAAAAGTCATAATAAAATGTGACTTTTGTTGCCAATCTAAGACAATCTAATCACCAAGTTTCATGTTAATTTTATTTACCAAGTTTCATTTTAACAGCTAAATAAGCCAGTATCTAATTTATCCACTGAAAAGAATAGCTGACAACAGTGTTGATGTGTTTCAAGTTTTCCTTTTAACCTCTATGACACTCAAATTCTTACCTGGCAGATTTTATGACATTGGGTCAGCTGGTAAATATAACTAAAAGTGACAACCAATAAGTGACTCAAAAATTAGAATAGTCTGTTAATCTTAGTATGAGGATAAGCGTGATTTTGTATATGACTACTTCAAAACCTAAGATTCTAGACTTGGGAAGAGAACAGGTTATTAAAATATAACTTTAAAGTCCTTAGAAGTATAAGGAGAAATGTCTTTTTGACACTGTTTTAGGACTAAGTCCCGTTTTGGGTTATGTGAGCAGAAAACAGGCTCTATAACAAAGACTGAAAGCTTGTTATTAAGAAATTCATCCACATTCTAGGAAATTCATCCATACCTATCTTCAGGCATTTTTGTGTGGTCCACACAAAAGAAATTTGAGTGGGATGTTATAAGAAATCCTAAGAAATTTGTGTTGGCTATAAATATTGAAAAATCACAGATTTCACCGAAAAAGTCCAAATTTTCAGCTATTCTGGAAAACTCAGAAGAGCTCACAGCATTGGATTCATATTCCCAAATGGCTTAAATGACAAATCATTGTAGCTAAGGAAAGGCTGCTCCTGTTGCCGTATCATAAATGAAAATTGCAGTTTGTCAAAGTTCCCACCAAGGCATCTTGATTTACTGGTCCAGCTTTCAAAGCTGAGACATTTATGACTCTTGCTACGTATGTTAACTACAATGTCGAAGACACACATACTTGCATTCAGTGTTTACAACGCAAACACAAATTTTCAAAAGTATATTTGAATACTAAAACTTTATACGAATTTCTAACAATAAAAGGATCTATGAAAGCATCTTAGGAAATAGTCACCTTGCTGAGCTAATCCATTTAAATGAAAACAAAGACAAGTTAAACATTCGCATTCTATTCTAATTAATGTGTTTTGAGAGCACCTCAGGCTTCTTTCACAACATTCCTTTCCTGTGGTTTTAAGTAAAAAGTCACCTTAGAGTGGGTCCAAGACAGTGGTCCACGTTTATGACCTGACCCTGCAGTCACATCACTAGACTCTCAACCTACCACGTTCCCTTAGGGGAATATTACCCTGGCTAAAGGCTGCCATCTGTATCCTCCTCACACAGCTCTGATCAAAGGACCACAGCTTTACCAAAGAACTGAATCTAAACCCTGAGTGTGACATGCAAGGTTCCCTGGTCCCCGATCACACCTCCGCGACCCAACCTCACTTCCCGCTCTTCCGCGTTGCGCAAGGTGTAAGGGTCTTCTTGAGTTTTGGAAACGGAGGGGAGAGGGGTCTCTGAAGACCAATCTCCTGTTGTTCCATTAAAATCGCCAATTATCGGGCGCCCCGGGCGGCTCAGCGGTTGAGCATCTGCCTTCGGGCCGGGGCGTGACCCCAAGGTCCCGGATCGAGTCCCGCGTGGGGCTCCCTGCAGGGAGCCCGCTTCTCCCTCTGCCTGTGTCTCTCATGAATAAATAAAATTAAATTAAAATCTCCAATTATCTGGATCCCAGCATCTTCTCGGAACTCCGATGAAGTGCTTCTGCGATCGCCTTGGCCCGGAGCTCCGCGGTGAGCTGCATCCCACCCGGACAGCCGCCGCCCACCAGTACTTCCGGGCTGCGGGCCCCCCTCCCTGGCGCCCGTTCTGCAGGGCGTGGGAGGTTACGCGCTATCCCGGGACCGCTACAAAAACCTTCCCGTGTAGCTAACCGGGGTAATTAAAAAAAACAAACAAACCCTAAAAGCAGATTCCGAGTATCCACCGAATACTGTCTTCTAAAAACGTTGCAAGGATCCGGGCACTGGCTTCATGTCCAAACACGGACTCGCAGACGCGGGCAACTGGGACCGACGAAAACGTCCGTATTCAAACCACCTTCGGGGCGCGCCGCGCTGTCCACACCCGCCCCTCCCCCCGCTGCCCGCGACACTTCTCACACAGCACCTCTGAGCGCGAGAAAAGGCCGCCGAGGCCGCCGTCCCGAAACCCACTTGCCAACAACGGCTGCGTGTACTCACGGTGGCCATTTCTGGCGGGGAGGGCGGACGCCAGCGATCGTCCCTTCCGTGAAGCTCTACCCCTGGGGGACCGACAAAACACAGCAGCCTGGTGACCCCCCGGGCGCCAGCTTCGAGGCGCACCGCCGCCCCGCCCCCACGCCCGCGCGTCCCCGGAAGTGCTCCCCCCGCAGGGCCCCGCCCCCGACGCCCGCGCGCTCCCCGGAAGTGCGCCTCCCCGCAGGCCCCGCCCCCGACGCCCGAGGGCTCCCGGAAGTGCGATCCCGGAAGTGCGCCCCCCCGCGCCCCGCAGGGCCCGCCCCCGACGTCCGAGCGCTCCCGGAAGTCCGTCCGGCCCCCAAGCAGGACTCCACCCCCGAGAGCTCCCCGGAAGTGCGCCCCACCCCCAAGGACCCCCGCTGGGCCCCGCCCCCCAAGCCCCCCCTCACCCCCCGCTCCCGCGAGCAGCTAGGACCCGGGGACGGCGGGGAAGCAGGAGTCCGTGCCCGCCCGGGACACGGTCCTGAGGGCCGGCGGCTCCACAGCAGCTCCGGACGAGCGCTGGGCCGGGGCTGACGGGGACAGCCTAGCCACAGGGAGCCGGTCGGGGCAGGGGCCATACCGAGCGCGGTGGCCCCCAGACGGGCGCATTCGGAGGGTCCGACACGGTGGAAGCCGTCCGTACCAGGCGCCGCAGCCGCCGCCGCCGTCGCCAGCCGTCCCGGCCCCGCACTGGCTCCGCCGTCAAAATGGCGGCCGCGACGGCAGCGCGGCGAGCGCCTACGCCGGCGGCGAGCAGGCTGGAGCAGCGGCTTCCGCACGCATCGATGCGAAGGAGCGTCGGAAGGATGATGCGCACGCGCACGCGCACACCGGGGCCGCCGCCGTGGGCGGACGTGGGAGGACGCCCCCCCCCCCCCCGGCCGGCGCGAGGCTCCCGGTGCTCCCCGTCCGTCCCCCGGGTCCGGGTGACAGGCTCGTGTCCGCGAGGCCTCCGTGCTGCCGCCGGAAGCGGGCTCCCGCCGGTCGGGGCGCGGTTGTCAGCCCGCGAGCCGCTGGGCTCGAGCCCGGACGAGCTTCCTGCGCGTCCCGGGCCCTGGGCGGCTCCGTGGCCGGCGCTCACGGCCGTACGGGCAGCTTGTTCCCGCTCCTCCGGTTCCGACTGAAGCCCATACTTATGTTATTATTTTATTTTACTTTAAGATTTTATTCATTTATTCCTGAGCGGCACGGAGGGAGGCCGAGACGCCGGCGCCCCGCGGGGAGCCCGACGCGGGCCTGGATCCCGCCACCCGGGTCACGCCCTGGGCCGCAGGCGGCGCTCACCGCTGAGACCCCCGCACCCTTGAACTTTTTTTTTTTTTTAAAGATTTTATTTATTTATTCTTGAGAGACACAGAGACGCAGGCAGAGGGAGAAGCAGGCTCCTCAGGGAGCCCCACGCGGGACTCGATCCCGGGACCCGGGTCACGCCCTGGGCCGCAGGCAGATGCTCCCCCGCTGAGCCCCCGGCACCCTTGAACTGTTTTTTTTTTTTTTTTTTTTTTAAAGATTTTTTAAATTTATTCTTGAGAGACACAGAGACGCAGGCAGAGGGAGAAGCAGGCTCCATGCGGGGAGCCCGACGTGGGACTCGATCCGGGACCGGGTCACGGCCTGGGCCGCAGGCAGACGCCCCGCCGCCCGTGACTGGAAGGATGAACCCGGCTTGGTCCGAAAGCCGAGAAAAGATGTGTCGGGGCGAGGCCTCGTCGGAGCGAGGGCGGTGAGCGGCCGTGGGGGCCGCAGCTCGTGCCGCCTCGGCCCACAGGTCGTCCTGGAGGCGGCGGGGAGCAGCTGCGAAGGGATGAGCGGGGGCCCCGGCGGGGGCCCCGGCCTGACGGCGCTGGCGCCTCGGGGCCCCCGCTGCTGCCTCCGTTTAGAGGGCGGCTGGAAGGGCCCGTGAGGAGGACTCCCGGGTTCATGAACCAGGGTATTCGGGGGAGTTGCTTTTGCTTTATTTGAAACCCGGTAGTATCAGTATTTGTGGGGCGTGCACTACGTGGTGGCACTTGGGTGGGGATTTTTGCATTCTTTGCTTTAAGGCTCGTAGCAGTATAGGAAGCAGAGGTATCCTCATCCTCGTGTCACATACGAAGAAACGGAAGGAGAACGAGGGTAAGTATGCTTCCGAAGCTTCCAGGTCTGGACTTAAGTCTAGGTCTGGGGCACCTGGGCGGCTCGGGATCCGGGATCGAGCCCCGCAGCAGGCCCCCCACAGCGAGCCTGCTTCTCCCTCTGCCTGTGTCTGTGTGTCTCTGTCTGTCATGAATAAATAAATAAAATCAGGGGGGGATCCCTGGGTGGCCCAGCGGTTGAGCGCCTGCCTTTGGCCCAGGCCGCGATCCTGGAGACCTGGGATCGAATCCCACGTCGGGCTCCCGGTGCATGGAGCCTGCTTCTCCCTCTGCCTGTGTCTCTGCCTCTCTCTCTCTCTCTCTCTGTGTGTGACTATCATAAATAAATAAAAATTAAAAACAAAAACAAATAAATCTTAAAAAAAATACAAATCTCCGTTAGTTTCAAAAATAGTGTTCTCTTTTCCACACTTCACGTTCTCCAGAAGCAGAACAGGTGTTTGGAGAAAGATGGCCATCTTTGGCTTGGGCTATCTTGAGTTTGAAGACGCCTACGTGGAGTTCAGGTGGACTTGCCAATAAGTCATTTGGAAGTAGGCCTATTGCTCAAGAAAGTGGTTTGTACACGAGACCGAGATTTGAGAGTCATTGGCATATGGGTAGTAATGAACACCATCGGGACCTCTTAACCTAAAGTTCAATGATGGGCTTTATGGGAAGGGAGAAAGGTCAGTGAAACTCTTGAAAATGTATGCAGATTTTTGTATATTTGTAAGTAGATTCATTATTTTTCCCCCGTAGGGAGAGGGTGCATAGCTTCAGATTCTTAAAGGAGTTCGTGGCTCCATTAGTCCAGGACATACTAGTGTAGAGTGTAAAAGTAAAAGGGCAAAGTCAGGATACCAGGAAACACTAATTAGAGGGGTAACAGAAGAAAACCTAGCAACAAGACTGGCAAGTTTCAGAAAGGAGAAGGAAATCAGGAGTGTTAGATGTCAAGAATGATTGCCGTTGCTCATATTTATTACGTGCTACAGAAAGATCTTAGCGAGGTTCATTTTATTTGATAAATCCAGCGACAGTGACTTTGCCAGAGGAGATTCAGTGGAGCAGGGTATGGGGGGTGGAATTTTGATAAGTAGATACTCAGAGGGTGAAACAAACTTCCTGAGGACAGAGGCTTCATCTGCTTGTTCACTGCATTCCCGGCACTTTACTATATTCCTGCCACAGAGTGGGGGGCGGTGGGTGGCGGGACCAGTACGTGTTGGCTGAGTAGATGACGAAGTGTGGATCGTTAGTAACCAGCTGCCGGTAGCCGCTGCTGCTTTCCAGGCTCCGTAGCTCCTGGCATCTAGCTACCCAACACCTGGGCTGGGAGAGGAGTAGGGTCTGTACTGCGTGAGGGCAGACACTGACACTCGGGCCCAAACTGCCTGCTGCCATAAAACCACCTGCAGTGGTGACTATGGGTTCAAATCCGGGATTTGTCTGGCTCCGAAACCCTATGCCTTCGACAGCAATACAGCGCGGAAGATGAAGGGGTGAGTAGCTGTCTCTCCGCTTACTTCGGTTCTCTCCTGCCTGCTTCTCCCTTTCTCTCTCTCTCAGATTGTGCTGCTGCTTCAGATAAGCGAGGACCTCGGCAAAACTGTAGAAATGGATCCGTTCACCAGATTACGAGACTATGCAGAGGCCAGCCAGTATATCACATCCTTGGGGGTGTTCTTTCTCATCTCACGCATTCAGCTGCGTGCATTGATGTTTTTTGGTAAATATATGCCTTCCTTTTGATTCTAGAACACGCTGATTCTGAGTAACAAAAAGACGCATACTTAGGCAACCCAAGGAACGTATAGTAATGGCTAAGTGCTCAGTTTGAAAAGACTTGCATCGTAGCTAATTCTTTCTGTAAAGGTAGTAGGATTATAAAATCAAAAGACAAAATGGACTATTTTCTGCTCAACCAAGCATATCTAAAGCACAGTAGAAGTTTGAAGACAATATTTTGTGTTATTTTAATAAACTCTGCGTGGAACTATTACCTGGTTGCAAGAAAACAACATGCAAAATGGTAATAGAAATGTAAAAAGGGTGTGGATGAAAGTAAAAATCTGTGAACACTTGGTTTTTATTATTTGACTCAGTCACAGAACTTGACTATTATCACGACTTTTAAGTTCCTTATGCCAGTGATGCAATATTTTTTTAGTATTTGATACATTAAGATAGGCATATATATAATATATATATAAATATATATATATTAGCCATTTCTAGAAAACTCAAAGTTTTCCTGGAAACACCTTATGTGTTCTAGCCATCTATTGCCATGTGGCAACACATGAATATTGCAGAGGGTGAATGTTGGGTGTCTCTAGGGTGTAATGGTAGAGAAGCCTTCTACTTAATATTTTGATTTTCAGGTTTTTCTTTTTTAAGATTTTATTTGTTTATTCATGAGAGAGAGAGAGAGGCAGAGACACAGAGGGAGAAGCAGGCTCCATGCAGGGAGCCCGACGTGGGACTCGATCCCAGGTCTCCAGGATCACACCCTGGGCTGCAGGCAGCGCTAAACCGCGGCGCCACCGGGGCTGCCCTTATTTTCAGTTTGAACGTGATTCATACAATCAGTGGACTCTACTTGTGATATTAGAAATAACAATTACCTATTTGCTCATCTCTCTGCCTCCTCATTACAATGGAGACCATGATTTTATCTACTTTTTTAACAAAGATTTTATTTATTTTTTAGAGAGGGAGAGAGCGAGCTAGGGAGCGCATACAAGCTGGGGGAGGAGCAGAGGGAGAGGGACAAGCAGACTGTGCTGAGTGTGGAACCTGATGTGGGGCTTGATCTCAGGATCCTGAGCTGAGATCAAGAGTCAGACACTTAATTGACGGAGCCTCCCAGGTGCCCCAGATATTATCTACTTTATAGATTATATGAGATAATCCATGTAAAGGATTTAGCGTGGTACACAGTACTTAGTGTGCAATAAATGTCATCTGAGATCATCTTTATTATCATTACCAGCATTATTGTCATCATTGAACTGCTCTGAACTTCATACTTGTAGCTTTGGTTTCCATATATTTGCACAGTGCTTGTTGGGGCCATACAATAATGTTCTCTTACGTGAGATTGACCAGGAAGAAGAAAGGGATGGTAGCAGTGGGGCTTGCATCATGTACATTACCCCAGTTGTAGATAATCAGAATCTATGAAGGGTTTAGGAAGCTGCATTTTCAGAAATTCTTTAGGGAATTTTTATAAGAACTAGAATTTGAGGAACCTAAATTGAAAATAACTTTATCTGCCGTAAATTGAAAGGCTCTGCATTAGCAGCTGGAGACAAAAACCCATTTCACAACTCATCCCCTACTAATGCAGCACACCACCATAAAAAAATAAATATTTATTTTTTTATAAATAAAAGATAGGGCAGCCCGGGTGGCTCAGCAGTTTAGCGCCTGCCTTCAGCCCAGGGCCTGATCCTGGGATCCCCGGATCGAGTCCCATGTCAGACTCCCTGCGTGGAGCCTGCTTCTCCCTCTGCCTGTGTCTCTGCCTCTCTCTCTCTCTCTCTCTCTCTCTCTGTCTCTCAATAATAAACAAATAAAATCTAAAAAAGAAAAAAAAAAAGAAGCTTTAAAAATCAGTAAATGAAAGAGAAACTGTGTCAGGGAAACATGTAGTACATACTTTGAACACCAGGTGTCACTACTCCACAATTTAAAAACAAACCTGAGCCACAACAGCCAAAGGGATTATTACAAGAATTTTCTAAATTTCAAATATAAAGATCCAGGGAGAGTGAACTCTGAGTTAAACAAATTTGGATTTTATCAAAAGTCTCGAGGACCTCGAAATGGCTTACAAAGGGTAGTAGTTGGGTGCGTGTGAATAAACTTACCTT